GAGACTGGTTCTTCTTGGCTCAGGAGGGAAGAATTACTAGGAACAAGAAAAAAAAAGTGTCAGAAAAGCAGATTTCAGCTTGACAAAGGAAAGGGCAATCTTCTTGAAAATTAAGAGATATAGAGAAATAAAGTAGAATGCTTTAGGAGTTAATGGGTTGTCCTTTCTTTGAGGTCTTCAAATGAAGCCTGGATAATCACTTATGAAGGATATTGTAGAAAACATTATTCATCAGCTATGTATTGTACTAGATGGTTTTTGAGTTTCCTTCTAATTCTTATTCTACATTTACATGAGTCTTATACTATAGGGCAAAGTTATATGGAACATACAAAGTACAGAACGTCCTAAAAGTCTTAGTTTTTTGGGACCTCTGCATAAAAACTCAGTTTACTCCCTCAAGGAGATTATGATCTAGTTGAATTTCTAGATATGGGAGCCAAATAACAAAGGAGAACCTTGACTAAGAATACATAGAATACATATAGACATTTATGAATACATATAACATATACATGTATATGTATATAGTTAACTACTCTATCACAATCTAATTGTAATGTTTTATTGTGATGCAGAGGTGATCCTAGATTCTTTAAGGCTAATTGAATACAAGTTTTTCAAGGTGGAAAATTTTTGAATACAAGTGTGGTGATAGGATATATGTTTGTCAGCTTAAGTTCTGAGAGGTTGAAAACCAGAAAACTAGCCATTAGGTAATGAATTTTTTTTTTACCATAGCGATTCACAGAGGCTATCTTCTTAAGCAAAAAATGATCGCATACAAAACAAATATAATCACGGATGATTGAGGTATTGGAGAATGAAAGTTAAATAATAATAAGCATCAAATTATTTAAAAAGCAATCAGGTAACAGGTGATTAATGATGAAATTAACGGTTTAGGTGAGAATTATGCCTTCAGATGAGTGGGAGATGCTTAGCGTAGACTGAAAGTTTTCATAGAGGAGGGACTTAAGCCTGGATATTGTTCTGTAGGTAGAGCAAGGTCAATCAGAAAAAAGTTGCTATAATTATTTCTCTAAAGAGTAAGTATACCACAATCTCCCAAACTTTTTTCTATATATGTTCTGAGCATTGAAGTCTTTATGTTAATTCCATACATGAGCTTTAGAAAGAACTGATTTTGACCATAACTTTTGGCTAAAGATAGCATAGAAATATCCATCATTCTAATCCCACTACCATGAGTTAAACAAAAGCTGATTGGCTAGACTAAAAGTTATTGATTCAAAAGGCTAGAAATAGATCTATCACCATGAGTATATACAAATAACTTGAGTACACTTGCGTAAACAGAAGGAATCTTAGTCTGCAAATCATGACACTTGGGTTCTCAACTTAACTCTACCAATTACCTTTTATGGGGCCATAATCAAATATGGTACAGGAGAAAGAACATTGACTCTTGAGTCAGAGGACTTGGATTCATGTCCTACCTCTTATGCTTACTCCCTGTGTGATTTTGCACAAGTCATGTCACCTCTCTGGGCCTCAATTTTCTCATCTGTAAAAGGGAGGAGTTGACCTAGATGGCCTCTGGGGTCTATTCTAGTTTATTTATCTGTTTAGGTCTCAGTTTCATAAGCTATAAAATCAGATGATTGTATAAGATGGTCTCTTGTCTCTCTACATTTTGAGTTTCCTTTTATTGGAAACTATCAACTAGTTCCTTTTATAGAGAATCCCAAATTACCAGTATCATTAAATGCCATTTTGAATCCATTAGATTCAAGGATGGTATGAAATATTTGATTTGAAGCTATACATGGAAACCATTTCCTTGAGATACTGGAGAGCTAGATGATTCTTTGCAGTGGATAGAACATAGTAGGTACTTTGGAAATGCTTGTTGACTTGGTAGGCTAGACTTCATGAGGTCTAATTTCATCTTTAAGAGCCTGTGTTCTAAGGTATAACCAGGGATGTGTTGAAGCCACCTTGAAGGAGTTCACAAAAGCCAGTTGTTGAATTTTCAGTGTGAACATTTACACCTTGGAAAATTGGTAAACATTACAATTCAGGACTGACTTTACTGCTTTATGGTTGTTTAGACCTAAGAAACTGATGGAGATTATATATTATAGAATATTGCTGAAACTTAAAAGTGTATGGAGTGTACTTTTTTTTTTTGGAGAGCTAGTTGTTAATCATTTATCAGCCCACCACTGGATATAACTCACTTAGGGGTACAAATATATATCCTAGAAAGGATAGCACCAACAGAGGCTCCTGAAATTTCTGGCAACTACTAATCACAATACTTCAAGTTTCAGTTTGGATCTATGTGAAGAAGAGCAATGGTATATGCATTTAGATTTTTACCACTGCTACCATGACCCCACTATGTTTCTTAATATTTACTTTTTTTGCCTCATAGACACTACCATTACCTTCATCATATATTCATGACTCAGTTACAGAAAATAGTTTTCATAGTACCATCTAATTTTAGAGTTAGAAAAAGCCATATATATCATCGATGCCAACACTCTCATTAACTATTCAGCTGAAGAATATAGAGGATCAGAGAGATGAAAGACTTTCTCAAAGTCACTGTTAGTAAGTATAAAACCGAGATTAAAAATCAGTTCATCTGACTCCAGATCCCAAGTCCTTTCCACTATTCTAGAGCTCTATTTTTTTAACCTCCTCATTTTAGAAATAGGACAACTGAAATTGAAAGCAGCTATTTTAACATCATCCAGCATAACTGTGAATGATCCAAGACTAGAACTTAGTTTTCCAAAGTCTTGGTTTGATATTCTTTCCCTTCTATCAAAATGCCTCTTGTTTACTAGACAAAGTTCATGACTTTCACATACTCTAGGCTTCTATTATTTAGGGGGCTTCTTTTCTTTTCTTTTAACAACAGTTAGGCATTAGAAAAGGAAAATGGGTACACAGATATAGATGCATTCTTACTGGAATGCTCCTAAGCACAAACAAAAGCACTTTCAGGTGCTAGGGTATGAATTCTGCATTATTACTATACTGCAGTGTTTCATGCTAAAAGTCTGCCCCCAGAAACCTCAACTCATAATTGTTCTTTTTAAGGTCTCTGCAGGTTCTTAAAAATCCAAAGGAAGGTAAAGTGATCACAAATAGCCAGAGCTCAGCACAGAAGCTTCAACTTCTCCCCACAGTTGGGCTATTAGCACTTCAATAGACACAAGAATACCTATGACATCTCAACTAATCCATTCCTTTGCCACTCCTTAGGAGTGAGTGATGATAGAGCAGAATTAATGTTAGCTTGGCCCTCTGAAAAGCCAGGTCCTTTCAGGCTACTTTTCATCTCTGTTCTCTCTCCCTCCGTCTTTAAAGAAATAATCTTTTCCTTTTCTGTACTCTGACAAAAGTAGGCAAATCTCACATCAGGTCACATTCTTTTTTGATTTGTAAACTTCACAGCACCTGATTGATGGTATTTGTTATAAAAGAAAACAAAAAAGCTAGAGTAACTCATAAGTCCCTAAATCAGAGGAGTCCAAAGGATGATGACTATATTGGGAGTGCCTGAATAAATAAAGATTAGGAACCCATGACACTAAGGCCAAAGTATTTACCCCAGTACTGTTCAATAGAGAAAACAGCTCCTAAAGCACTCATTAAAGCTACAGGGGAGGCACTGGACTTTTCAGTATGAGGCCTATCTCTGGCAAATCTTGTTTCCAATGCCAGAATGTTATGGTCACTGTAAAGGAAGCCCTCACTTTTTCCCCTCCCATAGAATGTAAGCTTTTTAAAGGCAGGATTTATTTTTCATATTTTTCTTTATATCCTCAGTACCTATCACTGGGTTTTATACACCTAAGGCACTTGACAAACACTCATTGAATTGAGATAAATAAGTAACAGTGAAAAGTAATGTAAGATTTATCTGAAAGAATAGAGAACATAGGCTGGAGGTCAGGCTGGAGAAATTCAACGGTTTTACTGCCCCCTTTTAAATCATGTCTTCACAGTGTGGCTTCATTATTTAGTTTGAAATAAATTCCTAGAAGACTGGACAACCTAGAGCCAAAAGTATAAAAACACATTTCAAAGGCAAATATAAATTATTTGGGTATCATCTCTTCCTTTAGGCATTCTCCTCTATTTGGGTGAAAATAGAAAAGTGAGATTAGAAAGAATTTTTAGGTGGGAAGAAGAGATCTTAACCTGAGATATCATCAATTTAGTAAAAGGCTACCAATGCAGATTAGTGCCCTCTTGCCAATTTATAGTCTTAGAGAATTACTTGAAGAACCCAGAAATTAATGTCTTGGCCAGGTTTATGCAGCCAGTATACAGCAAAGGTGAGACCTAAACACAGGCATTCCTATCTGCAATTCTCTCTCCATTAAACCAGGATTCTTACAATTCCTTAAATGTCAAGGTTAATAGTGATGGTAATTATTTTAAGGGCAGTAGTTGATGTTAGGCTGCCTTTCACAAACTGGAAGAAGCATTTCCTGCATCTTGCTCTAGCCTTATGCTGGGAAACAGAAATGTAAACCAGTAAAGTAACAGAAGAGGAAGAAGTATGTACTACTAATCAGGAACACATTTTGCTCTCTTTATTTTTGAAGAAAATGGTATCCAAATCTGACACCAGGTGTGTATGTCTCTATAATAGAAATTATATATGTGTGTGTGCATGCATGTGTGTATATGTGTGTGTGTAGATATATATACATATAGATATATCTACACACACACACACATTCCCGATATACATATGTATATACTGTGTTTACACATGCATACATACATACATATAATTTTCAAACTTTGGCACAAATATTCATTTGATTCTCATAATAACCCTTCATGTGAGTGGGAATGAAACAGAGATACAGTTAGGTTAAATGTTTGCTCTGGGTCGAGTGGTCAAACCTAGACTATGCAAAGTGCGGGCTTTTGCTCTTGTGGTCATCAAAAGCGAGGTTTTAAAGGAGGGGGTCAGTTGAGCTAATTTAATTGCTGGAACCTACCTGTTGTCACCTTCTCTGGAAAAGAAGACGGAGAAAGTCTGAATATTCCCTCTTGCATCTGCAGGTGGACGCCAGCTGAGACGAACAAAGCGACTGGAAACCAAGACAGGGACCACATCTCGGGGTGCAGAGGGGAGGACACTGGAACTTGGGGTAGCTAAAGGGGAAGGAGAGGAGTCAGTCAGAGGGGCTGATGGAACAGAGGCATTTGTAAGGGTGGGAGCTATGGCAGTAGGTGGAGCTAATAAGTGAGACAATGCAGGGCCAAAGACACAAGATGGAAACATGAATAAAAGTGGACAGGAAGAAAAACAAAGAGAGCGCTAATAATAAAAAAATGTCACAAACATATTTACTGTCTAATTAAGAAACTATCAGCCACTGAGAACAATAACAATCTCAGGTCTCTTAGTTTTGGGCTCTTCGTAAAGATCAATAATACTAAACTTGTGTCTATACATCAAAATGTCTGAATAAGGCTCAAAAGACAACTGTTGTAACAGCCCCAAATCACTGAATGTTTGGTTATCTCCTGACTAACTAGATGTGAGCATCCCTCTTCCAGAGAGATTATATAATAGAGTCACTGATTAAGCTAGAAGTGAAATCAAAAGCAATCTATCTATCTATCTATCTATCTATCTATCTATCTATCTATCTATCTTCCCAGCAATAATAAAGATAATAATTTGAACATTTGCTATTTTTATATTAATTATCTTATTTGATCCTTAGAACAATACTCTTAGGTAAGTGCTATTATTATCTTCTTCCTCCAGACACAAAACTAAGGCCCAGTGAGATTAAGAGATACTACAGGTTTATATAGCTTAAAAAAAAAAAAGCCTGAAGTTACATTTGAACTCAGGTCTTTCTCTGTCAAAGTCTTAGCTCTATCCATGCACCAAATATTTTTTTTCCAGATAACAGACAGTCCTAGCTTTATGTAAATTTGTACTATGCAAATTTATCTCCTGGGCAGGCAGGACTCTCTATCAGCTAGGGCTTTGGCTCCAGCTCTTTGCAGGGGGCTGTGAGGGTGCCTGGATCATCAGCACTGCACCAGGGGTCCTCAGCTCCAGGCACTGAAGCTGCTGGGCAGCAGAGCCATGGAAGGGGCAGGGACTCGAGGAGGCCTATGATGGAAAGAGGAGGTCTGAGGAACAAAAAGGTCTACTTACACTAAGAACTATAAAAACAGTGTTTTACTAATATTTTCTCATTTGTTTTCAGGACAGTCCCATGAGGTGGAGTTGATCTTATTATTGCTTTATTATTCTTTTACAGAAGAATAAACTAAAGTCAAAAGATAATAAATGACAGGTCCAAGGTCACGTGGTTTTCTAGATATATTTTCTTATATAATACAGTAATTCAAAATGGAATTTGAGAAAGACTTGCTGTGTTAAATGCCTCCCAAATGGCAATCTCCTCCCCATTTTGTATAGCATCCTCCAACTTCACCTTCACTAAAACAATATATGTACATGTATCTATAAAACCTCTATTTGCTTGGCAATATTCAAGGTATATTTCTGAAAAGCTATATCTTATACAAGATAAGAAATTTTGCAAAGATGCTGCAGGCTTAGACTAGATGATGAAGATTATCCCATAAGCAAGGCTATATCTAAATACAAAATCAACTGATCTCCAAGATCTAGAAGCAAGTAATTTTCCACATCTTAGAACTACCACAGAATATATTCTGTAGCAAAATGAAGTTATTGATGAATTATACTGATATATTTTATCTTTAAGAAAAAGAAAGAAAAAAGATGTTTTCAAGATTATAGTGAGGATCAAGTAAAATAATGCTTGCAAACCACTTTGTATAAACCTTAAAAAATTATATAAATTTAAGGTATAATTATACTGTTTAATTTAAATACAGGGATTATATTTTAAAGGTTTAGAAAGTTTACTTATTTAATCATCACAAGTTTAAAAAATAACAGTTCTCATCCTTCCTACTACTGACCAGTAAGCTTGATTACATTCCTTGAACATCTGGAAGTGATCATTTAGAAAAGAAAGTCGTGATCAGGAAGAGCCAGCATGGATTCATTAAGAACTAATCATGCAAGACTAAGTATACAGACTTTTTATGACATCACTAGACCAGTAGGTCAGGTAAATGACAAAGATATGATGATGTATAAAGATTTCATTGAAGCATCTAACAAATTCTCTCACAGTTTCCTTGTGAGAAAAATGGAAAGGTATGGTATTTGTTACAGATATTGTGGATCCAAAACATTCTTCAGGAAGGGGTTGGTCTAGATATTTTTGAAGTCACTTCCAACTCTAAAATGATAATACTGTAAGCCTGGATAACCTTTCCTTCAAAATTGCTTTAGCCATAAATTTTCAGAGACCCTTTTTAAATCTTCTAGTTCATTCAATTGGCATAACCTAGCTTCTAAGAATCACAGAAATGTAAACTTGGAAGAAACCTTAGAGATTATCTATTCCAACTCCCTTCCTCCATTGACAACAAAACTGACATTCTAGTCTAAGAGGTTAAATGGTCCAAGTTCTCACATCTAATTAGTCATAGACTTGGGTCTAGAACCAGCATCTTGTAATGACCATTTCAGAGTTTTACCATTATGCCACATTGCCTTTCTATTGAGCTATCTGTAATGAAAGTGGCACTTTCAACTATTTGTTTAAAACTACTTGCTTAAAGTTTAAATTTTAAGTGCAGAAATGGAATGTCTAAGAATGGGATCACTAGGTTCATGCTGTTCATAATTAAATTACAAAACAAAGCTGGCTGTGAAGAGTCTTTTCTTCCCCACTGACTTTTAATATGTCGAGCTAAAATGCAAAAATTATGATTTTGGTGAGGTTTTTTTTCAGCATGCTTTCCTCATTTTGGCAAACGTCCATTTGTCTACATTTGCCCCCCAGCTCCCTAATATTGCCTATATCTCCACCTAACCCCACCACATGCACTAAAAGGCTTTCCTCACCCATGCCTTCCTTCTACACACAATCAAAGATAGTCATCAAAACATTCATATCTATTTCCGATTTGCCACCAATTATACTGACAACTGATCTTTGAGTCCCTTGGCTTTTCCTTGAGCATTCTCTTTCCCATTCACAGGCTACTGGAGGTTCAAAATATGTCAGTCCAATACTTATATTTGTGAGGGCTTAAAAATCATAGCTACCAAAATGTTAATATTGCTTTGTGGGAATCAATCCTGCTCTCTGGAGGTTACCAGTGTTCAAACTACAAAATCCAATCAATGGGTTTTTCTTAATCTCCAGTTTACTGGACCTTTCAGCTAATGACATGTTCCTAGATACATTCTTCCCTTGGTCTCTATGACATTGTTGTATTTTTTTTCCTAATTCTTCCTGTATCTATACGACTGCTTCTTCTAAGTCTTCTTACTTGGCCATTAGTCATGTCCTGGCTGCTTAACATGATTGATCTCCCCAAAAACTTTTCACTGAGCCCCATTATTTCTTTCTCTATACACTCTCCCTTGGCAAAGTCATTAGCTGCCATGGTTTCATTTTTTTAAAAAATTCAGTTTATACACATACATATACATGCACACATACATACATACATACACACACACACACATACATATATATATATAGACACATATGCATACACACACACAGTCCTAATCTATATTCTGAACTTCAAAACCAAATGTCAGCTGCTTTTTTACCTTTCTACCCAGTAGAATCTCAGACTCATCACATCTAAAATATAAAGCACTGTATCCCCTTACTACTCAAAAAAAAAAAGTACCCTCCCATTTTTCCTATTTCTATTGAAGGTACCACCATAGTTTCAGTCACCCAGTTCTATAACCTTGGAATAAACTCTGAATGTTCTTTCTTCTGTCATCAACCCCCTCATACTATACACCCTTCATATTGCAGGTTGAAAAGAGGGTAGAATTTGAGTCAGAGGAGATAATTAATAATAATAATAATAATAATAATAATAATAATAATAATGTTTTATAAAGCACTTGCATATGTTAATTCATTTTATTTTCATAGCCACCCTGGGAGGTAGGTGCTATTATTATACTTATTTTAAAGATGAAACTGAGGCAGACCAGGAATAAGTGACTTACCCAGGGTCATACAGCTATAAAGTATCCAAAACTAGATTTGAATTTGGGTCTTCCCGACTCCTGGTCCAGTGTCCTATGCACTGTGCCGTGTAGCTCCTTCTTGTTTTGAATTGTACTTTAGCTACTTAAAACCTGTACCCCAAACACATTCACAAGCACTTCCCATTTGATATTATTTAAAAGCAAATCTGGACTGTGAGTCTGTTGGTTTTTCCCTTAAGAATTGTTCCCACACATGATGATGGTTCAGAACTGTATTGATCAGATATTCCCATCTGCCAAAGCTTGGTCATTAGAGCTCCCAAAATATCCTATAAGGATAGGAACAAGGACTCAGGGACTATAACTTCTCGGGCAAGCTACATAGGTAAGGGTGATTTGTTGCTAGCCGATTAAGACTATGAATTTACTAAACACAGAATCAACACTAGGGATAATCACTTCCTTTATCATATATAACCTCCAGATTTTAGTATCTGCTTTGTAGGTACTCAGTAGGTATTATAGGTTCCAGGCTTATTAGTTATACCTTGTTATATTTAATTAATTCAATAACCACATCACATTCAGTCATACATACATACATACATACATACATACATACATGGAGTACTTAAGTTATTCTTCATTCATTAAAAATGAAACAAACAAAAGCCACTCTTATCTGTACCAAATATACCCAATCCAGGTTTCTTTCTCTCCCCTTTTCCTCTCTATCTCTTTTTGAAGTGTCCTTGTGAAACAGCCATATTGGGAATCTATGAAAAATTAATTTGTGCTCAATTGTTAGTGCATTAATTTATTGCTCATCTGAAAAGGTAATTCCTAAACGTCCTATGCCTTCACACCAATCACTAATGGTGTAATTTCAGCACACCTTTGGAGGAAACTATTTTACACTGGGGCATCTTTTAGCAGTACTTCAACTTACTCAATGACAACGAAGGCCAGCACTGAAGCTGGGTGTTATAATCTACCATCTCTTTTTGGCTGGCTATTTATAATATTGACTAGAAGCAGGCTAAGATATCACACTTCATCC